TGTACTCTTGTCATCAAACAAATGACTAGTAAAGCGTATGTACACGAAGATGTAAAATATGTACATGTTGGCAATAAAATCACGGTCGATTTTGCTACGCTATACGCGTGTGTACACGCATAGTTGCTAGACGTGTACGAAATGACGATCAAATAAACAAATCGGTTCGGATATACTTTGTTTAATAACTGTTGTGCGAGAGTCTATGAATCTCACATATACCCGAATATATACCTGCTTGCTGGGCATGAAGAGACAATGCTACCAGGATTAGACCCGGTGACTAGCCCTGCCCCATAGTCTTAACATGGAAACAATTGGGAATCCTCACCCTATAGCCATTTCTACATATAAAGGGAACTCGACAATATTTGCTATGAAGAATCCTTGGTCATTGGAACCTTGGAATCAATTGTTGTGTAAAGGAAGAGGGTAGTTACCATGAGGATTGGGACAAACAGATTTAATTGTGGCGTTTAATCTTTTAAAATTCTACCCCTCATGAACAATTGATCATAATTAGTTCAACCAATTATGCAATGAAAAGGAAATCAGATGTTACAATATGGTTGCATATGCTTCAAAATCCCATCCCTGCCGACATTAAACTACAAATGCAGTAGGTCCGCGAGAAAAATGTTTTAAGCTTTTGGAACTTGATACACATAATACTGAACTTGTATATGCTATATTTATAATGATTTCTCCTTGCAGTTTGCCTCCGTCTCGTTAACAGGCAATTTCAGTAAGACAGTGCTAGGTTTGGTCGATACTTAGTTCCGTACATACATTGAGTACATACCTATATGAATATTAACCAATTAAACCACCAAGAGAGTCCTCATTTGAACAGATGCCAAGCATATCGAATTGTTTACTTAACTTGTTTCATCGAACAATTGAAGAAAAAATACATTCCAAATGCTTTAGTTCTGACGGATATCTGGTCCGGTTTATTTGTGTCGAAGTAGTTGTGGGTCAAGTTTCAATTGCTTTGTCCCCGTCTATTAATCGCCATCGAGCACAAACAAGTAACCGCTTTACATTACAGAGATAAGTACTTCTCTCAATAGGCAGATACGTACAGGCTCATAGATGTTCACCATTGTTGGCCGATTAAAATATTTACTATCTTAGAGATAGAGGAATTCGTAGTGATATGTTAATAGTGTTCCTCTCGTAGTGAACTGCGGCAAGCTTGACGGAATTATTTATCCGCCCGGTTCGACTTATATTACGTATGAATGAATAACTTGTGTAGCATAAACAGCAATCTGTGTACCAATACACATTTAGAGCTCTGACCAGTCACATGGACTGCAGTGTATACTGGTGTACAAAGCTAACTATTCCTTGAATACAATTCGAAATAAAGCTTGTTTGTTCACTGCTCTTGAGCTTTAGGATACTTTCTATAGTCGATATTGTGTATAAAGAGACAAATGAGATGTTGAGCTTACATACATAAATTGATAAAACGTTTCTGTATGCAAGACATCCGTGATACTTCATGGACGTTATCTGGCGGTATTGTAGCTCGCGATCGTCCGTGTTGGCTTTATAAATGTTGTAACACTGGGATTTACGCCAGTGTCGGTCTAGACTGGTTGAAGTGGTTTTAATGACGGCGAATTCACTAAGCTGGTTGACAGACTGTTCGAAAGATTTACCACAATATGTCTGAAGGGGATTTTCAAATGTTTAATCTGCTTCTTTCATTTTGTAGACTTAAGACATTTTCTGTTGTTTTTATTTTCCATTACTGAATTTTAGAAAGAATCCGAAACTTCCAGATCAGGAATCCATAACGTTTCTTATCGAGTGGTTCGTTGCTTACTATTTGATCTATGATTTTCTTTCTAATTAATTTCTCCATAGTTTTACAAAGCACGCTGGCTATAATTCTGGTCGATCATTTCCTAGTTATCTGTAAAAAAAAACATTTGTGTGATCTGCTCTTATTTCGAACATTGTGGCAGATAGAGTGGGTTTGCTGATCGTGTTTTGCTATTTCTCTAAGACGTAGAACATACATGTCTGGTGATTTAGATGTATTGTTACATTATTTAATGCTAGTTCGATTACACAAACTGAGGTAACCCATCGGTTTGTTATATATTAGGAATACTTCTAAATAAATCCGTGTATACGTTTGCTTTCTCCCTATTTTACACTATTGTTTGTTTATTCTTAGTTCTGACTTACCCGACCTTGTTTCTTTTTCAGCTGTTCCAGATTTTTTATCGTTATATTCTCGCCCACCTCCCATTTTTTTCTTTACTTTCCTTCTTATTTGTACATATTTTATGTATTTCTTTCAATTATAATCATAGTTTTCATAAATTTCTGCCATATTCGATACTTCTTTTTAATTGCCCTTCATGTTGCTGTTAAATTTGATGATGATGAGGGAAATGTTTTAATTGTTCGTTTACTTGTTTTATGTTTGGCCCTTGTTCTTGTTTTTTTTTTTTAATATGTTCGAAGAGAAAGGAGTATTTTTCTGCGCCTATTAGTTTCTCCTCCAGGATTTTTGCAAGTATGAATTTATGATTGATCGCAGTTTGCCAGTTAGCCGTTTTGGATTTTGACTGTTCAAGTTTGTTATCGTTATTTCTCAAGAAATAAACAATTACCTCGCTTTGAAAAAAACTGTCAAACCCAGCTACATGAAATTTCAATCAAACGTTACCACAAGAGGCTTTTCTGTTGACAAGACTCCAGTTATTTTCTTTTCCCGTGTTTCCTATACTGGCTGGGGTGCTCTATGTCTAAACAAATTATTCATTTATCCATGCTTTTTTATCTAGTTTTCTTTTTCCCCGTCCGAACTTAGGAAGTATTTTTGGCGTCCATCTCCGTAACACTGTCCTTTCTCAGTATTTTATCAGACTTGTTTATTTTTTATCATGGTCACCAGGCCCTCAGATCTTCCTCCAGTCCCTCGTTTATTTCCTTTATTTCCTTCCCCGTTTTTTATTATCTTCACAATCTTTGCAAAACAGATGTAGGTCTTTGCGTTTATCTATCTGTAATAGACCTACATATGTATGTACTCCCTGAAGTATGCTACATTGCTATATCCACAATCGGCAACATCGTTTTTCTGGTTGGTAGTGTACTTAACAGGTCTTGTATGTGTACGTGCTGACACTGCCTTCATTCCTTTTTATAAACCTATACTGCCTTTCCCGTTGTGATTCCTTCTCACGGTCGCCTTAACAATCTCTTTCAATCCCTCTTTCCCTCGCCGATGGAATTGTGTTTGTTGACTTATATACTTTCCATCATGAAAAAATGTGCATACTGTTATTTCAGTGCAAATAAGACTACTAATAAGACGTGGATTTTTCCCGCTTGATTTTCGTGTAACCGCATATACCCAAGTATAATTGAGTTATCGTCCTTTTTGTACAGCTAAAGGTGTTTTCTTGGTTGGAGCATTAAGTGTGTGCCTTTCCCGTCGGTCCTTCTTTACGTCGTACGACATCTTGGGTAGTCTTTGCTTTTAGCTTCGCCGCTTTGATTAATAGAAGTTGAAATTCATCAACTTCACAATTTTAAACATCTTAAAGAGTACTACAGCAATATATCAAATGTAGGTCACTGGGACCTATATTTCCTACTTCACTGACGTTGGTTAAACTTTGCGTTTAGATCCATCACTCAAATTATACTGGAAGCGCAACATTCATCAAACTTCATATAGGGATTACAACGGCAATATATCAAATGTAGGTCACTGTGGCCAATATGTTTCGCTTCACTGACTTCAGTTACTACTGTGCGTTTAGATCCATTACTTATATACTATAGATCCATCAGTCATAAAACTTCATACATGGATACATTCTGATGAATACTACGCCAATATACCAAATATAGGTTAGTGTGACCTATATTTTCTTCTCATTGACTTTTGGAGCAGGAATGTGTAATTTTCATTAAAATCATGTATCAGATTCGTTTGCATTGAATGCACTTTTTTTTCTTATCTCCTTTCTAAAGCTGATTTCAGCTTAACCTCCTACAAAAGACCTTCTCATAGCTTTCACCAAGCTAATATGACCCCTTGGACCTGAATGAAAATTGTAGTTAATTTGTGTTGACGGAAATCTGTTCTTTGTAGGAACTTTAAAATAATCTTCATTGATGTGCAGATTCACAATTCTGATATTTTCAAATTCCACTCCAGCTTCATTTTATTGTATCTCCCTTTTAAAAATTCATAGTAGGCAGGTTTTTCGTTTTTTGTCGAGGTTTTTTAATTTCGACAACAGTTGAAAAGGTGCAAGCCTGTTAGGCTTATTTTATGGTTTGCATAAAGTGGAGTGCAAGGCCAAGGCCATATAGATTTCTTTCTAGAAAGGAAAACTGGTATTTATGATAGGTAAGATAATATATTGACATTTATGCACACAGGGGTATTCCAATATCTCTCAAGTTGACCGATCATCTATATTTCCCCTTATCTAGTTTCAACTTGACATGATGACCATACAAGATCAAGTAAAACACTGAAAAACAGAGATCAATCTATCATATCTTTATTGGTTTCTTAAAAGAAGTGAAAACAACTCACTTGAATGACATTTTATCAATAAAATATTACTATATTGTCATTGGTATTCAGATTAAAGTTAAATACAAAAAAATCAATAAAGAAATGTTCAACCAGTAATAATCATAAATATAATAATTAAACATGATCATGTATCACATAGAAAGACAGATTATATAGAAATATTGAACAAATATTCCCACATCCCTAGATATAAGTATTCATAAGCATCACCAAATATACAAAGGACTGACAATTGCATTGTTTTAGACCAAAAAGTTATAACATCACTATTAGTAATAAAACGATATACAACTCAACAATGTTGCCTATTCCGTCTTTGCGTATTGCAGAGTTATCTTCTCTTGTGAGCAGGTATCGATTGTTACTCATTGGTTTGTGTGAGAAAATTACGTCGTTTTCTCAAAACTTGATGACGTTACTCTCACAAACCAATGACCTTACAATCAATGCCTGCTCACAAGAGAAGATAACTCTGCAATATGCAAAGCCACAATTGAACCTTGATCAACAGATCATTATACATCAGTGGTTAAAAAACATGTTTTAATTCTTTTATGAAAAGAAGCTAGAGATGAAAAGCTTGAAAGTTTCAATACAAGTTAGAGGAAACTGTATTTGTTAAGGATGTATGCTCATTTCCTGTAAAACAAATCTCCTTTGCAAAGGAATTCCAAACCTAGTAAGCTATGATACATGTTTTGTGATTAGTAATTGAGACCTGTTCAGTAGAATGGTATTATGTTTAATTCTTCACTAGAATACATTCCTTGATAACACTCCAGCAGTTATGAATGATTAGACAACACCAACTAAGTTATCGTCAAAGTAGATGACTCTAACAAGTTACAGGGAAGATGTGTAGAATAGCATATATCTTTAACTCAACAAAAACTTCTACGTGTTATATGTAAGGTAGCATACATATTTAACAAAAATCACAGGTATCAAGTGTTACATGGCATATATCCTTAACTCTTACACAAACCACACCTATAAAGTGTAAAGCAGCATATATTCTTAATACAAAATCACAGGTAAATGAGTAAGATAGCATAACTTCTCAAGATGTATAGTATAATGATCTGAACTGCTGGAAATAACAAACAACTGAATTTAAGGCACATTTACAGAGTAGAGAATCATTTCCTTGTCATCACTGAATGGTCAGCCATTTTACCGAGAGGGGAGATAACTCCACTTAGCACATTATTCTATTTTCTGTCATGGCAGCAGTACAAATGATGTGTGTTTGATATTAAAATAAAATCTTTTTTTTTGTTGCAACATGATCTTATTTTAACAATGCAATTACCTTACTTATGAAAAGCAAACAACCTTTTGATAATATATAAAAATCAGTTTCTGAGTTTGTCTTTTCCCCTACCAAAAAAACCTTCCATTGGTCATATAGTCTTTGAATCAAGCTCAAAAAGCTTTCATTAAATACATAATTAGGACTTTTTCCCATCAGTTATATCTCATTATATCTAAAACTTATTTTGCAACTGATATAAATAAGAACCCCAAAAATTACTAATATACCTAATAGATAAGTTGTCTACAAAGAAAAGAAACAAAATGGAAAAATTCTCGTTGACTGAATGAGACTAGGCAAGACTGGCTATATCTGGGTATATATGCTGTGTTCAACCATCAACAAATGAAGAGGACTTGATCAAGAACATAAAAGAACAAGCACTCACCAGAGACAAAACAAGCTTACCATTCAAAACTACAGGGACAGAGGTAGCATTTATATATGCAGAAATGTATTTGGAATTATTTTTACATTAAAACACATATGCTGACACCTAAAATTGCACCTTCTATGTAACCAATGCTGCTGGCTGAAAGTGGAATGAACAGATATGCGAATTATCAGGCTAAATATGTGTTAGATGAAGCTGTAATCACAAACTGTGATAGTTCATAGCATAAATGATGCTGACATTTTACATTTTCTGTCAGATCTATTTTTAAATAACTGTATGATTGTTAACTTACATCTCAACAACATCACAAAATAAAAATAAAACAGTAGCTTTATGATGCAATCACAACTATGCAATTACCCCAAAACAAAATAAGAGAAATAGTGTTTATTGCTTTGGAGAGAAATGATTCCAGTTATGTACTAACTGAAAGACTGAAAGAAAACATTGGTCACCCACTGACTCAACTTAATCACTATTTAGGGCACAACAACACTATTTAGGTCACCCACTCATTATTTAGGTCACCCACCCATTATTTAGGTCACCCATTATTTAGGTCACCCACCAACTATTCAGATTATTCCTTCACTATTTAGGTTACCCACACATTATTTATGTCACTCACTCACTTTTTAGGTCACAACCTCACTATTAAAGTCACTCATTCACTATTTAGGCCACACACCCACTATTAAGGTCACCCACTCACTATTAAGGTCACCCACTCACTATATAGGCCACACATCCACTATATAGGCCACACACCCACTATTAAGGTCACCCACTCACTATATAGGCCACACATCCACTATATAGGCCACACATCCACTATATAGGCCACACACCCACTATTATGGTCACCCACTCACTCTTGTGGTCATCTATTAAGACAAAGATTTGTGACTTTCAGCAGTCCCCCTTCTTGGCTGACACATGACTCTAATTTGTTGTAATGAGAATAATTTTAAAAGGAGATGACTTATTGTGTTGAGAAAATCATTCTTACTATTTTAAGTATCACAATCAAATTATGTAAAGGTGCGAGTTCAGCACGTTTTCACTGTTACACTGGTGTTTCTGTAGGATATAACGGTCTCCATAATGAAAAAGTGTCATTTATATTCCCATAACTAAACTTTTAACAAAGACTAAAATCAGCAATAAATTTGTTCCAACCATATAACATTATGAATGATAGGACAAATCAAATTATTTATCATCAAATCAAATACCATTCGTCTCTTAAGATATCAGAGAAGATTTCTCTGTGCCTAATATCTCTGTAAACAACTTGATATGCACATTTTTATATGGTGAAATTATAAACAATTGGATGAAAGTAGTCAAGATTACAGGATAAAAATAACTGCTTCAGTTCATAAGACAGGACAGCTTTTACATAGCAATAAATACCAACAGGCTACACATATATATCACAGAAAATAGATAATATCAAATGTAAGTAAACCGGCAAGACTGGTTAATCCAGCCAGGACCGATTTCGTCTCCTCACTTATATATCCAGTCAGGTTTTCTTTAGGGGACAGGTTGTTTATTTGGATTTAAAAAAGGTTCTATCACTGTCCAATAACTTAAGCTGGAAATAGAGGTGGCTGAATTTACAAGGCTCACCCATACAATCACACAGTACCAGTTCATACATTCAAATTCAACTTCATGTACATGTATCCTAGATATGGATATGCCAACCCAATCTCAAGTCTTTCCTGGGGTGACAAAATATGGGAAAAAACCCCGTAAATATTGGATTTTTTTCTTATTTTCCTAGATGATTCTATAAAAAGATGAATTTTACAGTATTTATTCACAGACTTAGAGTCAAATCAATTTTACAAGAAAGAACAGTCATTCAATTTAGAAAGCTCCTAATATAAAACGATGCAGGTTAAATGATTGTAGGCAACAGAAACCAATATTTATTACGGTACATGTACAATATTTTCATATCAGTCAAATTTCATAAATGTGTCTATTATAAATATTTTTTGAATTAATAACCGGTATATGGAAAAAAAGCTTTGCATATATAGAACCTAAGAAAAATATTGTACCACATTTCTGTCTGTCCTACAAGAAATGGGCAATTTATTGTTAGGTTGATGATGCACATGTTGATAGGTGTGCTGCGTTCAACATGCATAACAATGAACAAATTATATCAGTACATAAAACAGTGTAAAGATGATAAGAATGGAAGTCTGCAGCAGTCAGCACTAAGGTGAGATGAGGGACAAAACTGTATAAAATAACACACCTGGTACACACAGGACTTCCCATAACAAGGTCTTCAGATCACTTCACATCCAATGGATGAAACTAAGCTATTTTCAAACAACATTGCAATGCATTTAATAAAATGGAAAGAATAATTTATTTGATAGATTGATGTAAAATATATTTATTTGCAAACTTGAAATGATTGTAAATTAGGACATTGCTTTTAATTTACTTGGTGCGTAGTGGTGACAGACAAACAAGGAAAGGTAGGTAGAAAATCTTAATATAGTAATTCAAAAAAGTTGTGAATGTTTTATAAAATTCAACTAAATGCACAAAATGTATAGTTTGGCACAAGTATAGACCCTTTCAAATTACGCACAGCTTATAAGCACATAAATACAGATGCTGATTATTACAACACTATCATATCGATATCACAAGCAATAGGTTTTCATCACTGAAAATATACAACTAAAACAGCAAAACCTGATGTTTCACATAATGATTAAAACATAAAAAAAAATGAAAATGGACTAGAAGTTACTTCAAATTTACAAAGCAAGACATTATCGTGCACTGGAAACTTATATTCAATGAATAGTAGTTTTTGTAATTTCTCATTGAAATCGAAGTGTCAGTTCAATTTTATAAAAGTAACTTTTTGTAATTTTTATAGAAATTGAAGTGACACTTTGATTTCTATAGAGAATACAAAAATATTCAAATGTCAGTATGAACAAAAATGTTTCACTGTACATGTAAATATGCATACAAACAGTGTAATTGACAAATGATGTGTAAGATTAGTGTTTGGCCTCTAGGTAAGCACTATTAAGGAGTACATCCAGTTCACATGTTATATAACAGATCACTTGATTTAACTAATCACATCCATATAATCATTCCTGTATAGGTGCTGTACTAACCATATCTTTTGAGTTTGGGGAAAGTACATTTTTGTGCTATTTCACCATGGGAGGGATGCTTATTATGGCAAATACACTATTTTGAAAAAGAACATGAAAACGTATCAGACATGGGCTTCTCAAAAATTAATGAGGAACATATATAACAAATATTTTCTTCTTGCTACAACACATATACATCTTAAAATATCTTAATTTGAAGAAAAAAACATCAACAAGACTATTAAGTAATATCACAGAAAGTTTTGTCAGTTTTTTTCACTGGCAACATTTCAAGCATAAAACATTATCTCAGCTTCAGATAAACAGATCTTCCTAAAATCAAGTTAAAAATCCCTCATGATTAACAACTAAGAAAACAATAGAACAATAGTGTAGGTCATTCACAGAGTCTTTGTTGTGGGTTCAACACTAATCATTCTACCACATAAAGTCATTGATAGTTGCTATCGGCTAGCTCTCAAGCAAGAATGACCATACACATAATGGTACGTGTAGACCTAAAGTCAGGACACCGAGACAACAGAAACAGGAGCTCAGAGTCAATATCCAGTTATGGGAACAAATTGCTGTAATGACATAACAAGACAATTTCATTGACCTAGCTTGTTAAGTCAGTTCATCCTGTAGGCTGAATACGCCATATTTCAAAATGTCAAACAAGTGCAAATTCTAAAAAGTGACATAATCAAGAGTTCAGTTATTCCACAGTTCTCATAACCTGTCATGATATGTTTGGATTTTCAGGATTCAAGAACTATCCGACTTCCTTTGAAATGTCAGGTGTATCCAATATCCTTAAAAAATACAGAAAATCGTAGTCGTCCAAATAATCTGATGTTTCAGATTTCGCTTTCAAATTCCTATTATTCATATAAATTCCATTTTCTTAGAATCAGATAGATATTCTGATACTTCAGACTTCCCGAAAACTCTTAAAAAAAGGAAGGTACTATTCATTCAAATTGTACACCAGCACCATTTGTATACGACCCATGGGTTAGGTCAGAGGTCAGCCTCATCGTGGTAGACTAAAACCATGCACAGCAATGTCTCCCTTCCTGTAGCTTGTTATGGTGGGTACCGGACCCTTAGACTTGCTCTGTGGGGTACTTCCTCCAGAGGAATCACCTGGAGAGCGATGTAAAAACTGAATTATCTCCCTTGGATTATAAGGAACATACATATTTCATTTGATGCTGGTTTGAAGATGTGTGTATATAGGAACCATGAGAAACCTTTCAAATTATTTTCATACTAAAGATTACACCTGAATGGTATTCCAAAATGTTTCCCTTTAAGTATATATAAACAGATGGTACATACTTAATGCAAAACATCTCATTAACAACAAAATGAAGAAATTGTCTGCCCTAAAGTTTAAGATTAATTTCCATTTATGGTTTCTTGTTTCTCTAGGCATATTAAAGAAGAGTTTTACCTTTCTGTCCACGTTTTGTTCGTCCATATACATCAACTGAAACCACAAAAGGTATATAAAGCATAAAGTGTGATATCATAGCAATTACAATACATTTTCTGAACAACGCACTTCATCTTTTTTTTAAATAGTAAATTTATTAGCATTCAGTTATTTAAACAATGGTTAGATATATCATAACTGATTCATTCTTTGATTTTAGAACGTATGGGCTCTGTAAAGAAAACCCTAAATATTTTCATCAAAAAAATTTATATTTTCGTTGTATTGAGACTATTAAATGAAGATGGATTTGTAGAAAAATATTTACCTCCATGTCTGGTTCTTCCAGCATTTATTTTTGCATACTACAAAAAAAATAAGAAATGAATAATGATAAAAAATAACATGAAATGAACAGGATTATACACTTCAAGTCACATATTTAAAATTTTAAAAGACCTTAACTATCAACCTAAATGGTGGCAGATAAAGGAAGATCCATGAAGTTGAACGTGCCCCCCCCCCCCCCCCCCCCNTTTGGCCCTGCCCCTCAGCCACCTAGGGGGGCAGCCCAACCATTTGTACAATTTTGAATCCCCACCACCTAGGGATGCTGCCAGTCAAATATGGTTGATATCCAGTGCATAGTTCTACAGAAGAAGTCGTTTGTAGCAATATAGCCATATTGCCAACTCTTGGCCCCGCCCCTCAGCCCAACCATTTGTATAATTTTGAATCTCCACTACCGAGGGATGTTTCCAGTCAAATAGCCCAGTTGCTGCCTTTTGGCTCCGCCCCTCAGGCCCCTGGGGGGCCAGACCCACGATTTATACAAAATTGGTTCCCTTTTGAACCTTCGGACAAGTGAGCTAAAAACCGTAAAGTGAGATTTCTGAGAGATATATACTTTAAAATTTACAAATACTTCTGTGTTTCTTGTCTTCAGGTGATAATTGTGAACTCTGATACCAATAATTTTCATTCTGGGTTTGGACATTATTGAAAATGTCCTTATGAAAGTTTTGTTTTAACTTGTTAGCTGATCAGTTCAGGTTATGTGTTATGGGGTCTAATGTCCTATTAACAGCTAAGATCATTTATGTACGTGCCTCCGTGTGTGTTATGAATGTATTCAAGTTTGCTGAAGGCAGTAGTTGATCAGGTCATTTACAAACAGGCCCAGAAATTAAGTGGAAACTGACAGAGCTCTTCCAACAATATACATTTTATCTTTTTCTAGAAATATTCTACTGTTGTTGTTAAGTTGCTAATACATGTATTTACGAGGCAGAAAACTATCTCTGTGATGAAAAACAATATAGCCCGGAAGGAAGTACCAGATAAAAATCAATACCATAATCATAAAATTGTATGATATATTAGCCGAGTTTGTGGATTATGAGAAGTTCTTTTTACACAACCAATAAAATAAAAACACATAGAAAATTGTATTGGTTGTGTAAAAAACCCTTCTCATAGTCCATACTTACCAACCTGAAGAAAATGTTCAGAAATATCCAAGTTTGTGAAATTTAATACTTAAGAATAAATATTCTTATGTTTCAACAGCAAAATTTTGTGAAATTAAACAGCTACACTGTACTTTACCTGTGAACTATAGCTGTTGTCGTATCCTCGTGTCCGTCGGTTGCGCTTTAGGTCCGGTTCCTTCGTCCCTTTTCGCCCAGCCCTGATTGGTGGCAGGTTACTATTGTCAGTGTTAGCACTCTGCTTTGTTGCATTGGACAAGTTATCCTCACTTGGAGGTTTGTGAATAGATGGGAGCACAACATCATCGTAACTTTGGTTATGTCTCGCCAGTGTGCGAGGAGACAGGTATGCTTCGTCATTTGAAGGTCGGTATAGTGACCTCGGCTCACCATATTGTCGTTCAAGATTAAGAAGGTTAGTTTGGGCTTTGGATCGTTTCTTTGCAGCCAGGGCAGCGATATTGCGTGTGTTGCTAGTGATGGTGGTGCGATCATCCCTGTACAGACCGACGGCCATAGGCTGTGGACTGTTATGTCGGGACGAGTGTGGAGACCGTGGAGTGCGAGGAGTACCATTCTCTAACCAATTCACAGACAAATTGTCATCCCTCAAGCGCTGGGCTCTAGCACTTCTAGAAAACAACTTATCTCCTTCTCTGGAAAATTAAAACAGTTTCCAAGTTTTATTACTTACACCACAAAAATTTGCATTTGAGAAATTATGATGCAGTGCAACCTGTATAAAACAGATATGATTTAGACCATACAGGTTCTGGTTTATGGAGTCAGTGATGTTCAATATCAACATTTTTTATTATACATATATGTGTTTATAAAAGAATATACATGTACTTTGAAATTTATTACAGATGCAAGATGAGAAAATTAAGAAAATGAAAAAAAGTTATCAATAATTTACAATAAAAATCAACACGATGTTTTGCATATTTTATGTACTGAAAAACCTTTTTCCTAAAATAGCCAACCACGATAAAAGAGAAAGACAAGAATATACATCAGAAAAATATTGTCAATTTCCAAAGAAGAAAGGGTCTGGATTAGACAGGATTGTCATACTATGTTTTAAAAGCGTGAATTCCAGAACAAAATATCCAAGTAATACTTAAGACAGGGATTTATATTAGACAGCCACTGGTTTAGGGAGGTTATATATTAGACAGCCACTGGTTTAGGGAGGTTATATATTAGACAGCCACTGGTTAAGGGAGGTTATATATTAGACAGCCACTGGTTTAGGGAGGTTATATATTAGACAGCCACTGGTTTAGGGAGGATATATATCAGACAGACAGACACTGGTTTAGGGAGGATATATATACCGAAAAGCCAAAAAATCACAGACAACACATACCGTAGTACATCAAGCAATTGTTTTATTTTTGAGATCAGAAAGATTGCCCTATCGAGTTGGTCATCTTAAGGTAAAGGGAGACAACTCACAGCAGTACTATTACTGACACATCCCACATTGTACCTACCCAAACCTGGGAGTGAGCCTGGCGTCTTCCTCCTCCAGGGTACTCAGTTGGTCACCCTCATCTGCAATGAATGACCGGTTGCTGCGTCCTACTCCTCCAATCTGAAACATACCAGGTTATACCAAGGTAAGCTCACTTATTTGAACAAAATACATATCCCTATATTCCTATATTTCAATTGATATATAAATTTGCATTTATTTGGAAATGTATATGTCTGAACATATAGGTACTTGTCACTGGCTATGCTAGGGAGAATTTCCCTTTAGCTTAGGATCTTAAGTAAGGTAACAGTTTTGATTACAACTCTTAAGGTAGGCTTTACTAAACATTATCTACGTACTATTTATTGGCAACTGTAGGCACTTTGCACTTTTATCTGTGGTGGTTGTGCAGGAAGTGAGTCCTGTACATCATATTGATAATCTAGGTTTTGATTCCAATAAAGCCACATTACTGAATAACCGTAACCTGTATTACACAATAACTGAACTTTGAATTCAGTTTAGGAAATTGAACTGTAAATTAAATACCTATTTTCATCTCAGTAAATTGATGGATCCATATCACAGCTGAGACAGAATTTTTTCAAAGTCCTTTGTATTTATTAGTAATGTGATAATTTAAATGATTTCATGATTCTATTACAGTGTATATATATAGCCGCCTACCTTGAGGTACTCGGGGCTGAGGCCGGAGTCCTCGTCTGTGAGTAGGAGCCTATCGTCCAGCTCCAGTTTGTACAGATCATACAGTTCCTCTAGGTCTTTTGGTGTTGCAATGTTTTTTTCTGTGTACAAGAAAAAGCACAGGACATGTGTTTTTTTCTAACTTTGGGCTATAACTCATCTACATCTATTTACAATTACTTAATTATACTTTTGGTTTGAATACCTCTCCATCTACTGAGACAGCAATGATGCAGGTAACAACTACAATATTTTATTTTCACTTGATTCAACAAAGTTAGTTATTTTGAAACAGAGAATAAAGGAGCATCCACTCATTGTATGCACTACAATAATATTCAGTTTCATTTTAGGTTAGGTTTTTTTATAAGGGAAGGCATGGGGGTAATTAATTCAAACACATGTGATAAAATATAACAAAATGATTAAGAGATATCCGAGTTTGAATTTTAACTGTTTAAAGTTTTTACAAGTAAATGAATGCGAAAACAGTTTCCAGGAGTATGCTAATTTGACAGCTTATTGTCCCGATATTTTATTGATAATTACCTGCCAGGAGAACCCTCTGTCGTTTAATAATCTGGTCGGTAAGGTTCTGGTGTTGTCGGAACCTTGACAACACCATGTCCTTTTTCTTGATCTGGAACTCCCGGAGCAGACAGGCAGACTGGACCTCGGTGTTCTCTATCTCCAGGATGTGTACCTTGTACAATAGACTGAGAATCTCTCGCTGGTCCTCGCCATTGATCCGCTGGGGGATGTTCTGTCCAACAAGCATAATGCTACTTTAGCACAGTGGCTTACACACCATATTACAACTATATGCAATATGTCAAAACAAATGGGACAGTCCCATAAAATATTACAAAATCCTGAACATGCCTTCAAAACATATTACATTAGCAATCTATTATACATTTGACAAAGAGTACCAGGGTAATATGTTGGAGCCTTGATCATCCAGCCACCTTCATTCCTAGAAAAAAGTGTCTAGATTTTGAGATATCTGGATTACTGGGACAGTTTAGCATAAAAACAAGATTAATTTTTCCCCTTAAACACTGGCTGGAGAGTGTGAAAACTTGATAAATTGTGGCTAGATTAACAAGGATCAACTGTTTAGATAGTTTAAGTTGAAAATTTGTAACTTTTGTTGAGAACAGTAAAATTTATATATATATAAGCTTTCTCCAGAATTAGGTATAGCCTCACCTCCTGTAGTCTGGTGGTCTTAGTCTTGGCTGTGTCCAGCTCTTTCTGTACAGTTCCCCGAATCTTCTCTGTGCGATGTTTCTCCTCGTGAAGGACTCTTAGTTCCTCCCGAGCCATGCGCACTTCATCAGGTTCCGAGACATCATCAGAGCCCAGCCCCGAAAGTTCCATGGTCTTTGTATCCTCTGTAGATACAACGAACATCAAATTTAGTATATTGCCCATAGATGCTGCAGCCAGTGGACCTATCTGTCCGGTCAACATGGATGTATGTGGAAATGATGAGCAATGCAAAAGCAAGTATGTAACCTTCACTTAACAAAGAAAACTCATCAATAAAATAAAAACTTAATTTGTTTTACAACAGTTATGAAACTACTGAAATAACTTATATTAATTACTACTGTTGGCCCAGATAATAATGTGAGGGGGTGTCTTAATGTAGGTGGAAACCTGAGTACCCGGAGAAAACCCATGTGGTTGGGCAGGTGACCCCATACCTTTTCACGTGTGATCAGGGAATCAAACCCCAGCCACCTTGGTAAAAGTCAAGTGCACTACCCACTGCCCCACCCGACCACCCGAAAACTCATCAATACTTTTCACAGGCTCACCCTTGATCTATTGGCATATAAGACATGGATGTGTATGAGTATTGCCCTACAATGGATGATTTTAAACCATTTAAAGGTGTTGTTACCTCACTGACTTAAACAATATTTTAGCATACATAGAACCTGTGTGGAGGCACTACTTACCTCTGTACATGTCCTCGCCACCTTCTCGTCTTGGCAACTTGGCTTTTTCAACATCCCACCTGAAAGAATACAATACGTGTTAAACAACACACAGAAATAATCTACAACTTACACCAACAGAATCGATGACCAGTTACGTGAACACGTTTTGAAAATATTTCTTTTTTTTCATAATATCATATAAAATATTGACAAGCTTTGCCTTCAAAAAATCCATTTCAATCAATATCCATGTCCATTAGAAATATCCAAGTCTGAATTCTTTGCATTAATGAACTTGTCTTTAAGAGAACCTGACTTCCTAAATTATGAAGTATACTTACTCGCTGATGATTAGCTGGTTACGATTTGTTTCTAGGCTTATTTCCATGGAGGCATTATTCAGCTCCATCAAACTTTTCCTGGAGAGAAGATCATCAAAATGTTGAAACAACACTGTGTACTTGGTTAAGTAAGTTATAATGCATCATTATCTTCAACAAAGAATCTAAGTGTGCAGTACTTTTGTCTAATTTTGATGCTTAAAACTACACCATACCTGTAAGTATACCATCATCACCATTAACTTAAATCAGTCAAAATCTCGGGGGAAATCTGCAACCCTATGTGTCTGGAGAGAAGTAATGTGTTGAAAGGTTAAGTAATACCTACTTCCAGCTCATTAGTGGCGATTTATCAAATGCCTGGAATATTGGGACACATTCTAATAAAAAATATTTGTTCCCAAAACACGGCTTGACAGAGGGATACCCAAACTAGTGGAAGCTAAATTAAAGTGAGGCTCGGCTGTTATAGATGAAGTATACCTGAGCTCCATCTGATCCTTGAAGGAGATGAGTAGCTGTTCCTTGACTTTGTTGAGCTGTTCGCGAGCTTCTCCGTGTTGTGTGGACAGGACCTCAGCTGTCAAAATCAAAGGTTTAAAGGTCACTAAGGAATTGATCACCGAGGGTGGTGGATACTCATGGGACATTTCACTGGGTAACTTCACTAAGTAGAAGTATGCCAGGCCCACGCAGAGTATCAAAATCTTACTTGGAGATTTGTCACAAATCTGATCACAGACAATCCAGACAAAATATCAATACATTGTACTTGTGAACAACCTCCATACATGTTATAGAATAATCCATTACATCATCAAAATTGTCAACCTGGGCACTAAACTGTTATTCATTCTGCTAAAACTATTTTTGATTGATCTATAAAGCAATAACTTCTAGAAATTTGATTAAAATCCAATTTCTTGCATTGTGCACAATCATTATTCTATAACACTTAACTTGTGAAGAATTCATTAATCTCAATAAACTACCTTTTAACTGAACTCTCTTTATTTGACTAAGCAGTTATACACAGGGTACAGGTTCAAGTACAATGAAATATGAACATGGGGGGACAGGTATTTGCTTTACAGATGTGACCCTATTTCATACACAATTGTGGCAATATCTTAAGCAGAATTACTGAAAATGACTTATGCTCACCTTGAACTGTTTTTATTTTAGCACCATTGACAGGTCCACTCTCGACCGAGTCGTGTAACCTCACACGGAGCCGGTTGATCTCCTCCCGCAGCTCCTGGATGATGTTAGTGTACTGGGCTATGTGATAAGATACATCTGCAACATTCCTTCGTACCTTTAAAATGAAACATGGTAATGTAAAAGTACCTAGTTGATTAACAGGTATCAGAAAGGTTTTAAAGGTATCACTGTCACTAATGCCAGTACAATCTAGACACGTTTAACTTGGGAGAACACAGATAATAGATGGTAGAAATGAAAACTTCTGTTGCCATAAAGTCTCGCTTTTTGATCTGATGGACAAAATTTGTTTTGGCTTATATGACTGTCACCATACAATTGTTTAAACTTGTGTCCTGATGTGATTGGCTCTGTCTGTGTAAATAGGGTTGTCAGGAGTTACCTACCTTTGTCCGTATATGCTTGGCTCGGTCTGCGTATATGAGGGTATTGCGAGATTCCTCAAAGTGTATAGAGGCCGGGCTGATGTGGGCGATCATCACCGTCTTACAGTTGCCCCCTAGTGCGTCCTTCAGCAGTCTTGTAAGCTTGCTGTCTCTGTAGTTCACATATTTTGGTCCATTCTTGTCACCTGAACAAGATTAAGAGTTATTCATTAATCCAATCTCAGGTATAGATGCCTATAAGCTAGAAGAACAACACACAATTTAAGAAACAATATACAAAGAACAACATACAAGATTGGTTTGGGTGAACTTCAGACTATGATTAATTAGCGCATTACATAATTACTCTCATTTTTATCTTCTCAAACTATTTTGAAGACTTTGTACAATGTACCCTGTTGCACACTGTAACTTTTGTTGGACAATTAACCCTTTCACCCCTATGTAACTTTAGTAGACTCTACCATGTATTGATCTGGATGAGTCCATTATGGTCTACAGTGTTGAAAGGGTTAAGTGATGGTTTCTAATTTATATCAAACTCTAAAAAAAGCTTCATGACATCAGATCATTTCAGGTTTCTGGATATTGGGTAATCATGACTTGTGATCTTGTATAATTGTGAAAGACTTTAAGCCATTGGTGTATACCTACAAAATCTCAAAACACAGCAATCCAAGTAGAAAGTAACTTGGCAACTTATATTCAGATATCTCTCCTTTTCCTAATTAGAGGTAATAAGGAGTCTCCTAAAAATCATCCATACATGTAGTCTTTCTTGCCTTTCCAATGAGTGATTAATTGATCATCAATCAAGACTAAATTACCATTCATAAGCACGGAACTCTTTTGGGAAGGAGATTTGTGTCACAATAAGTTAACATACAGCTTTAAACTGAGTGGTCTGATACAGTAAGTTTCCTTCTAAGGTAAGATCCACAACAACTTTCACAGATAAATCTTTCTTCATTAATGTTTTACCATCTGGCTTAGGAGGCTCAATACAACAGACTCAACTCTTGTCTGGTTTTTTAAAGTGACTTACTGAGGGCATTGATACAGTTGCCGAGTGCGAGTAGGGAGCGGTTGATGTGAGCGCCCTCTACCATACGTTTGCCTCTGTTGTGGGTAGCGGCAGCACGTTCTGAGCCAGCCAGGTCTACCATGAAGAGCTTGCCCATGCGGACCTCCTGATTGGTGTTGCGTACACGGTTCTGCTGTTTGACCAGGACCTGAAGGACGGCATGGGATCGTGAGGATGTCTTATTGGCCGCAGTCGGCTCCTGTGTCCTCTCCTTGTTACCCATCAGTAGCATCTCCATCACCTGAGGTCATACAGATAGAGTGACTCATAGTTAATCAGAGTATATCATATTTTCAGTAATAAATACAGAGTATATCATATTTTCAGTAATAAATACAGAGTATACCATATTTTCAGTAATAAATACAATGTAATACTGATAATGTCTGTTTCATCTTTAGAAATCATAAATGAAGTAATAGCTTGACAGCAGAAACATACATTTTAGACATGAACAGATCAATGGAGGAAGGAAAATTCAAACTTGAACAATACATTTTTACATGCCTGATAATAAACATAACACAGAAATATCTTCAGAAACAATTCAGAATTAACTGTTTGGCTCGCTCTGTTACGTAACAATGACCATGGCTTTGAACTGACCTCACTAGTTGTGTGAGTGGTCACCTCTGACAGTCCGGCTACCTGAACCCCTCCTTTAGCATCTTCCCTCAGGTCAAGAATTCCTGCTGATGGACTCAGTAGATCTCGGATCATCTCATTGTAGATCTGAAGAAAAACAGATATTGTTTAATAAAGAAATCAATGAATGTAATATACTTTATTTCTGGTCTTTTCTTATCTGACTATAGTTTTAGTGAGACAACCCTCACCAAATGAAGCTGAAGTATCACACCCTAATCCTTCAAAATATGCTGGTGACAATCAATATTCTTTATCAAATACAAGTCGGATTTTTTTTAACAAGCTAACTTAAAGGCATGGTTGTCTATTTATGAAGGTAGAACCTCATTTACTTGATTTTGTGATTTATAATTTTTCTTCCAAGACCTACATGTACATTGTATACAGTACTGTTGTTTCTTCAAATATTGTAAAAAAATGACAGTAATTTTTTTTGTGTGTGTGTGAAGGGGTTGGGGGGATGTTTAAAGATATAGGTACCTAAAATAATAGAAACATCAATTTTACATACTTGAGAGTGGTTAAAAGCCAAACATCAAGAACACTTGCAACAGAAATCTTAGGTCGTGTTGCTAAAGCAATCCTACATCAACTTGTTATAAGGGAAATAACTCCTGTGTACTTCTGTAAGTGTTTCATATAGTGCCTGGCCATAACATATTCATAGGCCAATATTACAAATTGTAAAACAACTTCGGATTTGAAGGAAAAAAAAGCATCAAGCTTTCACTATCATGTTCTGATATTCTTGACCTAAAAAAATAGTTTGGATATCAAAATATGGTAATGATTACATGGTCAGATCTTTTCAGTGATAAATCAAACAACTCTGAATTTCTGATACCTGTACCAAGCTAATCATCTTGTTGTGATGAAAGCTAGATGGTAAAAACAACTTCTTTCATCTGTGTATAAGGCAATCACTAGTGGATCATTTACGTGTCTTTGATCTACAGACATATTGTTACCAAATTCCCAGGAGACTGAAATAGCTTGTCTTGTTTTCCAGCATCTGTACATGAGAAATACAGGTCTGTGAACACTCTCCCGATCTAAGGTTATTCCTGGTACTGGGGTATACATGACAATGATACAGGGTATAGTCTGTCAGGAGACAGGGAATTCTCACATCAATAAACAACAGGATCTTGTGTAGTAGTGATTGATGGAGGATTTATGGGTAACACAAGTGGCCATTATGAATTAGTAACAACTACAATGCTATATCTGAAGAGTAGGTATATAAAACCAGGCAGGGTAGTAGACCCACGTACAGGTATATGATATTGTTATTTTCACATTCTATCAAAATCAAAATTCAGGTCATGTTACCACACAAAATCTTAAAGATATTTTTTTACCTTAACATTAACTTCCCCATAGGGAAACAATTGTTTTACTTAACAAAAAACCTTTCTAAATCTTTAAAGGAATTTTCATGAAAACAGAGCCTGAAATATTAACATACTTAATTTAATTACTATTCAAATGAAAATTGATGATTATTAATTAAACCGGTCTGTATTTCCTACTAAATCTTATCTCTATAAGGATGATCCTTTACACTTTGACTATCACACCGAGAAAAGTTTTATTAATATTTTCGCAGTATTTTCATTTAAACATTACCATAATGAAATGCCAAACATCTTGCTATGAAGGTTATAGCACTTTTGAAATTCTCTCATGAGTTATTCCCCTTGATTTCACCTAAGGGCTGACAAGAGTGATGTCACCATAATAGCCAAGTAATAGTTATGCAGTTAAAATATGGACTTCAGGGACATACCTGCCAACTTTTTGAACATTTCATGGGTAAGATTTGGCGTGCTAGGAATGAAAGCTTAATTAAAAGGTGTGTATGTCTAGGGAAAAAATAACACTTTTAAAAGGGATCTTTTGAGTTGTTCTTTGATATGAAATAATCCGATCTTGGAAAATAAAAATAGTTCAGCAAATTCAGTGGTTGAAAATGCTTAATTTTAAGGTAAGAATTCGGGAGTCTCCCTCCTAAATAGGGAGAGTTGGCAAGTATGCAGGGATATAGTATATTTCTAATTCCCCGAGGCAAAGGTGTGGGAAATGGGTACTTGGTCACGGAAAAGAAGACTTGCTTTATTCAGAAATACGATACATTAATTGCTTTATAAACTGTTACTTAACAAATAGCTGACCTATTTGTAAAAGCAACATTCTAAGCTACAAGTTCTGAAAAACTATCGTAAGACTATACTTTTTCATTAATGTCTGTCATTACTTAATGTTGACAACAAGCTCAGTCTGCTTCTTACCTGATTAGCTGGGTCATTTGTATAGGGATTTTATAGATTATATATACTGCAGCAGTGTTTAGTCTGCTGGGGTGCTTTACTTTTCAGACTAACACATGGCTGGACTCAGAGCAAATGTAGGGATAACATATTAAACATGTTTATTTTTACATACAATAAACAAAGTAGAGGTAAATAAATGTATACTAGCACCCCAGGGATAGAACACTGGTGTAGATAGGGATAAAAGTGACACTGTTATGGTCTAGGGGCCTTCAGTTTATAATAATCATCCAAGATTTATGGTAAATCTATGGAGGCCAAATGACTATATGTAAAACAGAGCTGTTGCTGTATAATGCTTCACCACACACCAGCTACACGGATACCTGGAGGACCAAAACATAATTATAAAAACATTACCAGGTCATATCTAGCTTACAGTCTTATCAGCATTTCAATCGTTATTTTTTCCCTTGTGTTATGATCTTAAGATTGTTTTCCCATGGGTCTATGGCATGGTATATATACACCATCGATATCCCAATAAGCCAACATGCTACCAGTCAACTATAATTAATGAGGTGGACTCAGGCAGGGAATCTAATTAACTGTCAAGTGAAAAGGATTATTAACAATACATGTAGTCTTATACATGTATTAACATGCATCAGACCTTTGTTTCCAGAGGTATTGTACTACCGGTAACTTGTTAATTGCTCCAGACATGTTTACAAACTTGTCAAGCCACAATCAATACACACTTACTTTTTTTCCTTAGTTGGGACATCTTCGTTGTTTTTTGTTTTTTTTAATCCAGTGATGGATAATATATTTTGAATTGATAAAGATCGGCCATCTACCTTTGAAACTAAAACAAGAGGCCCAGGGGCCTTAATAGCTCACCTGGTATTTTATTTTTCAATTTAAAACCTGCTGAGTACCATTCAGGTTTATCAAAGGAGTACAAGTAACAAAGTTGCATCTTCCATTTATAAATATTCAATTCCCTTTGCCCAAAGATTCTCTAAAACAAGTTTGGTTAGGTTAAAATCCCTTCAACGGTACAGAAGGAGAAGGATCTTTAATGTTTTCCTCTATTTCCCCTAATGGGCCCCACTAATCTGCCCCAAAGAAGGGGAATCCACACACCTCAGTTTAAACAAAATTGATTCTTTTCTCCCTAAGCATGCTTCAGACTGCATTTGGTTTAAATCCCTTCACTTGTATAGTAGGAGAAAAAAAATCCTCTATTTCCCCTATTGGGCCCCGCTCCTATGCCGCCAGAAGGCCCACACCCTCCGTTTATACAAACTTGAGTCTCCTTTGTCCAAAGATGCTCTAGGACAAATTTGGTCAAAATCCTTCAATTGGTTGAGGAGAAGATTTTTAAAGATTTACCTATTTTCCCCTATTTGGCCCCGTCCCTCTGCCCCCAGGGGGACCATACCCTCCGTTCATACAAAACTGAGAACCCTTTGGCCAATGATGCTCCAGACCAAATTTGGTCAAAATCCCTTCATCGGTACAAAAGGAGAAGGATATTTGATGTTTTCCTCTATTTCCCCTAATGGGCCCCACCCATCTGCCCTTAGAAGGAGGCCCACACACCTCAGTTTATACAAAATTGATTCTTTTGTCCCTAATCATGCTTCAGACTGCATTTGGTTAAAATCCCTTCACTTGTATAGCAGGAGAAAAAAAATCCTCTATTTCCCCTATTGGGCCCCGCCCCT